TTATCAATACTCCTGAGGAAATTATATCCTAGGTAAAAAACCAGATGAATATAATCAATTCTCACTATACTTCTGATCCAAAAGGTCATGTAAATTACTGTCAGTAGTGGGTATTTTAGGATTCAGAATCCTGAAAAGTGTATTTGGATCTTAGCTGTTTGGGGCTACACACAAAGTTGTAGGGCTTTATGCCCATTTTAGCAAAAATAAAAAAGGTTCTTTCCCAGAGCCGGATTGACAACCACTTTGCCCAGTTCCGCTATGTGGTCCAGCATCTTCCCACAGTCCTCAGCTCATGTTGGGAGTGAACAGTGTCACCCCTCTCACACACACTGTTAAACCTCATCAGGGCAGCTTTCCTCTGATTCTGTGATTTCTTGGGCTCAGGAAGGTAAGGGTTTGGGTTTAAAATGCCCCCAAAACCCCTGCAGCTGAACTCAGAGGCTTAGAACACCTCAACCTTCTTTCCTTTCAGGACTTGAATAAAACTTAGGAGTCAGCAAAGGAGAGGCTATTTTAAACTGGAAAGAAAAGCTAGAACCATGGATCTTAAGCACTTTGTAGCCATGGATTCCTCTAAGATCGAAGAACTTGATAGAAGCAGTGGACTCTTTCCAAAAAAAGAAAAAAGAAGGGATTTGTGTGAAAAACACATTTTCGAGAGAGAAGTTGTCGTCGTCTTAAAACTCATCTAGGACGCAAATGAAATCAGTCATGCCACGGCCACCTCCCCAGTCTCTTTGCTAGCTTTGGATTGTGTTGCTCAGATTCTAGTCTGGGGTCCAGAGGATTTGGCGCCTGGCTGGGTCAGTGGGCCTGGAGTGCTCTGTTGAGTGGGAGAGGAGAGGAGGGGGCACAGATCTGGGCCCCCCTTGCTGCCTCCTAATTGGCAGTCCTCACACTCAGCCCTGGCTGAAAGCTTAGGCCGCTATGCCAGCTCTGACTGGTCTTCTTCTAAATAGGGCTAATTCACATAGAATTCTTTTCAGCACTTCCAGGATTCCTTTCTGGGGCTAAGGACATGATCCAACAAGAAATTGAGTCTGACAGTTTCAGCAAAAATACAATTAAAAGCACATACTAGAATGTGTTCATGTCCCATGGCCATTTCTGATAAATACCTTGACTGTTTAACAAACACTGGGGAGAAACTGAAAACGTCCAAAAGCCACTCGTCCCATTTGCACTGGCCTGTAAGTGCTGGCAAATGTCGATGTCTGGGAAGGATTTTAATGTTATTGATAGCTTATTCAAATAGGCTGGAGTGGTCCCATGGGGCCTGAATCACTACTGTTGCTGAGGAATAAGCCACTTATACAGCAAGACAGTTAGAATGCTCAGAACTAAGTGCTGGCCATGCCTTAGTCGCAATGGCCCTTCTCGGCATCTATGACGTAACCGGAGGACAGTAACCCTTTCCAGCCACAAGACTGCCATGAAAGCCAGTCCACAGAAAGGCTTCCTTTAAGAAAAAACAGAAACCAAAACCCCAAAATCTTTTAAACGTGGAGTGCTGTTTCAGGAAACGTTAATGACTGTGATGGTTGCAGAGAATACCGTGGTCCTAAAGTTTCTTCTTTCGGATGTATCCCATGTCTTCCCTGAGAGGATGAGAATGTCAGAGCACTGACCAGCAGGAAAGGGGGGGGGGGGAGAGATATCAGGACTAAAGGCAGACTTGAAGCTGGGGGAGAGAGGAGCAGACGGGACAGGCAGCTGCCCCACGCTGGCCGAGGAGAGAAGGATGGATGTGCATGCACACAGGCGTGCTGAATGCCCGGCGAAGTCAAGGCTCAGCACTCCTCAGTGGAGAAGGTATAAGAACAAAAACATGCATGGCTAGAGAATGGTGACTCTTTTTTTTAACTGGGTATAATTTCTTTACAATGCTGAGTAGTTTCTGCAGTACAACGAAGTGAATCAGCTGTGTGTATACCCACATCCCCTCTCTCCTGGACCTCCCTCCCAAGCCCTCCCCCAGCCCACTCCTCTAGGTCACCACAGAGCACCGAGCTGAGCTCCCCGTGCTACAAAGGCAGGTCCCCACTGCGATCTGTTTGACACGCTGCAATGCACGCACGTCAATCCCAATCTCCCCACTCATCCTCCCCTCTCCGCCCCCTACCCCCGTCCACATGTCTGTTCCCTATCTCTGCATCTCTATTCTTTCTGGTCATATACCCTGAGAAAACCATAATTCAAAAAGATACATGCATCCCAGTGTTCACTGCAGCACAATTTACAATAGCCCCAAAACATGGAAGCAACTTAAGTGTCCATTGACAGATGAACAGATAAAGACGTGGTAGATATATATAACATACAATGGAATATTAGCCATAAAAAAGGAATGAAACTGGGTCATTTGTGGAGACGTGGAGTCTGTCATATACAGTGAAGTAAGTCAGAAAAACAAACACTGTATATGAGTGCACGTATGTGGAACCTAGAAAGATGGTACAGATGATTCATTTTTTAAAAAGTTATTTGTATGAATATACATACACAGAAATACACATAGACTTGTGTGTGTATAAGTTGTTGTTGTGTGTTGTTGTTGCTGTTCTTTTTTTTTTTTTTGCAGGAGGGTGGAAATTAGATGGCAGACTGAAACAGAGGAAATAGTGTTTAAAAAAGAAAAGAATATCAATTACTTAGAACTTAATGTGAAGAGCTCCGATGGGTTTTTGGAAAACCTAGGTAGCAAAAAGCAACTTATAAAACACCTTGCTTAGTACCCTTCACGGTGAAGGCAGGAGAGGTTTCAGAGACATACACTCAAACTGTAGGATCATAAAGACAGGCTGCTTGCTCATCTGTCTGATAACCACATTTTGGCTACCTTATTGCTCATAAGGCCATGAATCAGGGGGATAAAAGGAGAAGAAACTCAAATCAGTGCATTTGTAGGCAGCTCTAGTTGAAAGATGGACAAGGAGGAGATTTAAAACTCTCGTGAAGTTTGGTTTTCCACTGTGGGTTTTAATGATCTTGGGGATCTTGGCTCCCAGGGGAAGCAGTAATTGAGAGCCAGCTGTAGAAGTGGGGAGGGAGTCAGCATTCTGAATGGCAGGTTTTTATCGGCAGATGGTCCTGGTTTTAAGAAGCCAGTTGGCAGGGCTGTGTATCTCCTGACCTTCACCCGTCAGAGGATGGGAGGCAGAAAAAGCTCATTTGCAGTTCCGCGTCAGAAACGCCAGGGTGACACCGAGAACCTTCAGGAGATAAACAGCAGGAGCCTCAGGATGACAAGGGTACTGAGCAGAGCTGGAGTGCATGTGTAGACCTCACACTGTGCAAATGAGACCCAGCTTGGGGACTTGAAAGCTCCACCAGGCAGACAGCATGTTTTGTATAGAGTTGGACAACATCTTCAGCCTCGGGGCTAAGTGGAAGCCTTTCTAGCGTCCTGAAACACAAGGGCCAAGGTCTGTTGACATTTGTCTAATAAATCTACCTAATGGTTTACTGTCATGGTGAGAGATTTGGGATAAACTGTGCTATGTGAAAAAAGCAGCTTATAAAATAGTATACTAAATGATTCAATCTTGTATACATCTATACATGAAAAAAGGAAATCTGGGAGAAAATACGCAAAAATGCAAACAGTGATGATATTTAGGAAGTGGAATTATGGATGGTTTTTATATTTTTCTATTGGCTTAACTAAATCTTTAAAATTTTCAACATTATCCAGGGCATACTCCAGGCAAGAATACTGGAGTGGGTAAACCATTCCCTTCTCCAGGGGATCATCCTAACCTAGGGATCAAACCAGAGTCTCCGGCATTGCAGGTAGATTCTTTACCATCCAAGCCACCAAGGAAGCCCACTGAACATATTACTTGCATAATAAAACATACGAACATTAAAAACATATCTATTTTGTGCTCAGCCTCTCAGTCATGTCTGATTCTGCGGTCCTATGGACTGTAGCCCGCCGGGCTCCTCTGCCCATGGAAATTTCTAGGTAAGGATACCAGAGTGAGGTGCCATTTCCTACTTCAGGGGATCTTCCTGACCCAGGGATCGAACCTGAGTCTCTTGTATCTCCCGGACTGGCAGCCAGATTCTTTACCACTAGCACCACTTGGGAAGCTGCAACACATTTTAAATAAGTTAAAATGTATTACAAATGTATAAATGAGGTGTTCTATAAACAGGACATTGGACTTGTGAGGAAAAAAAGGTATTTCTTAATTGATTTCCAAATACTTCAAAGTGGATGTACCAGAATCTCTTTAAGGTCTAGAGGAACACATTGTAGGTTTCACTGGCTAAATATATTTACAAGAAAGTTGATGGTCACTAACTACTTGGGACCTTGTAATTAAATGTACTCTTTCTATATAGTTACTGCTTCAAGAGTACACTAGAGGTTGCCTATAGTTTTCTTCTTCTTGAGAAGACAACAGATACAGGACTCGAAGGATAACAGATGAAGATGAAGTTCTTGGCAGCGGAGTGTTGAATGAAAACATGCCTCCTGTGTTACTTTGGGTGGATTTAATCCTACTGTTTTGCTGAGGGGGTGGAGGTTCCCACAATGATTAAGGCTGCTCTGCCTCCCTTCCTTTTAAAGCGCTTCCTCTTCCACGTCTGCTTCCCTCACATCCAGTCACTCTACAGAAGGAAGAAAATATCCATCCAGGTGGAGAAGAGAGGGTTCTAGACTGGACTTAACAGACATCAGTAAAGAAGCTCCTGTAGACCTGTAACAGTGAACAGCTAGGATAGAGTGGCTGCTATGGCAATGGGCTAAATTTTTTTTTTTAACTTTATTAAGATTATTTACAATTTTTATTTGGCTACAGCACATGGAATCCTCAATCTTCACTGCAGCACCGGAATCTTTGAGCTGCGGCATGTGAACTAGTTGCAGTACATGGGATCTAGTTCTCTGACCACACATTGAACCTGGGACCCTGCACTGGAGTGCGGAGTTCTGGCCACTGGACCACCAGGGAAAAACACAGCAATAATAACAGGCAACCACTGTGCACTGGGCCATAGGGTGCTTGATACTTTATTCATATTCTCTTGCAAACTCACCACCAACTGGCTGAGCATAGAAATGAATGGCCCCAATTTACAGACAAGGAAGCTAAGTCTGAAGGGTGTTAAGAACACCCCATGGGAGCATAGTCGGTGCTGCATCCCGGTCAGATGCTCCAGGTTCTTCTCTCAGCCTCTTCACTTGCTATCAAGGTCACCCAAAGCAAAATAGTTAACCTCTTTGTTGTTCAGTTTCCTCATCTGCAAAACAGAGACAGTAACAGGGTTGACTGCCCAGGGTCTGTATGAGGATTAAATGGCATAAGGAGACGACAGAGAGCCTTTAGCTGGGTACCAGCCACACAGCCCCCTAACTGGTCAATGATGCACTTCCCACTCCATGACAAGGGGATAGCAAGCCCCCATCAGACTGAGTTGAAGCTCCTTCCATCCCCCAGACACACCTGATATAACATAGCCACTGCTCAAGGGACCTCCCAACCTCTGTTCAGATCCTTTCAATGGGCTGGAAGGTCACTCTCCAGCCACATGCAATACTCACAGAGACAGAGCTTCTACCTCCACATCCCACAGAGATAAGAAAAACAATGCTGGAGTGAACATGTGATGAGAATTGAGAGCAGAGCAGATTTCAAACCCTGAACTACTGTTTCAGATAAGTGCGCTTTTAAGGCATACAACGAAGGCAGAGACACTGTCCAATGTGCTACTAATACCTCCAAGTGTCCAAACTGTAGCCTCCTGTGAAATTTGTTTCTATTGTCTGGAAAAACAAGAATAATTCTGTCTCAAGTGGTTTCTGAATAAAGCCCTTACTATTGAGTGGTGTTTCAAGGATGCTTTCTGTTGTTTTTTGGTTTTCAGGTGTGTTTGTTTGTTTTTTAATTGGAGTGCAATTATTTTGCATTGTTGTATGATTCAACCAAATGAATCAGCTATAGGTACACATATATTCCCTCCTTCTTGGACTTCCCTCCCACCCATCTAGGTCATCACAGAGCACTGAGCTGAGCTTCCTGTGCTTTATAGCAGGGTTGTTGTTGTTGTTGTTTTTCCCCCAGTAATGCAACAAATGAACAAGCAGTCAGTGGATATAGAATTCCAACTTCCCAATTACTTCTGATCTTTGATCTTTGTCAAAACACAAAATACACCTTTAAGTGCTGGTGATTAATGTGTATGTTTTACACTCTGGGCCTATCATGAATTGATCTAACATTTGTAGATCAAGGACCAAAACATCTGCTTCCCTCCCTCAACCCCTGGGATGTGTGACCAGGCCACACATCCCATATTCGTATCACCCCCCNCCCCCCCCCCCACATAATTTAGATATGCTTCCATTAGCCATGTTCTATCATGCTGCCTTTTAGGATGGTTTTATTACAGTTCATTATTTAAATAATTATCAGGTTTCTATATTCCAATGTATTTGTCTTATAAGGTGACATGAATATTCAGAAAAGTCTTCATTGCCTTCAGACTTGGGATAGAAAAATTACTGTTTTCTGTCTGTCCGTTCCTCCCTCTCTTCCTCTCTTTTCCTTTTTTATTAATAAGACTTAATTCCTTCAGAGCAGTTTTAGGTTCACAGCAAAATTGAGGGGAAGGTACAGAGATTTCCCATATATTCTCTGTCCCCACACATACACAGCCTCCTTCATTGTCAACATCACCACCAGAGTGGGGACATTTGTTACAGCTGATAAACCCACACTGACACATCATAATCACCCAAAGTCCCTTATGGTTAATGGTTAACATTATGGTTCACTCACTGTGCTGTCCATTCTGTGGGTTTAGACACATGTATAATGACATGTATCCATCATTATGGTATGTCTTTTTTTCTCTCCAACATTTAACACTTATCGGAAATTCATGCAGTATTTGCTTAAGACCAAAATGTAAACTATTCTCTTTCTTACTGTTTTCTCTTCAAGATATTAGTCTATCATTCTAACAAGCTTCCTTAGGTAACTGAGTCTTTTTTCAAAAGCTGTGTTTCTTATTTGTATGTGTTAAGCTCACTAAATAATCTGAGTCAAAATCTGTAATTTCTATACCATTATTTTTAGTCTTCCTAGTTTACAATCCAATACTATAGAATTTTAATAATGCTCACTCGCAATAGATTTTTTTAATTTGTTAAGGAGAGTTTATCTTCATGACTTCCATTCTTTAAAATTTCAGGTTTGATATCCTTGATTCTTTATACTAAGTGATTCAGATATGAAATCATAAGGTATTTTGTGAGGATTTCTATTCATAAGTAATAAGAATCTTTGGACCAAAGAAGGATGGGAATTCCTGTGTCAACCAGTCAAAGGATATTTTTTAACTCCGCAAATAATCATTAAGCCCCTACCATTTTTCAGGCACTTTTCTAGGCTCCAGGGCTGAAGAGATCAGCAGGGAGATGCCTCTTACCCCACTCCCAGAAGAGAGCAATTCAGATTCACAAAGGTTAAAGTTAGAACATAATTATCAAGAATAGCTCCAGGAAGGCTGTCCCTTCTCCCCCCAGCCTTCCATAGGGGGTCTCACCTAAGAATCAACACAAAGAAAGAGCTCCAGAAAGCCAAGGACCCCAAGGATTGCTGAAGATGAGTAACACCTGAAAGCAATATTCAGCTTGATGTAATTGTCCGTTACATTTCTTGGCTGATTCACATGTTTCTGCATATTATCTCATTTGACCGAATATTCCATTTTCATGTGGACCTAATTCATGTAGGGAATCAGGTTAAAAGGCCTTAAAAGCCTGGATTCTGAAATGTATGTGAGGTTGAGAGGTAATGCATCACTGGAGTGGATAAACCCAAAGATCATCCTGACCAACGTCAAATCCAGGTCAGCAACATAAGCCAGGCAGAAATGCTTTCGCTGGCCAGTTTCAGCTACCATCACTACTTTAACTAAAGAGTTATGACGTCAGTGTGGAAACACAAAGGCAGAGCAGCTGTGTGTTCCAGTGAACACACTTCTGCAACTTCCATCAACACAGATAAACTCCTACACGAACACAAGAATGATGCGTGCAAAGTCACAGACTAGGAGGAATTGCACGCGGAGGGCTACTGCACAGCTTTCACTGCAAAGGAGTTACCCTTCTTACATGAAGAGACTGACCTCCTGCTTACGTTTTCATGATTATTTCTTAACATGCATGGTCAAGATTCTAAGAAAAATTCATAGGATTCTGAAGACGTTATAACCATTAACCAGCCACATAAAGAAAAGTCATGAGGCTGCCCAGAGGAAGGACTCATTTACTTCACTGTGAGTCCAGACACGCCCATCCTCAAACACCCCTGCTTTCATTATTAAGAGCAATGCCTTGAATCTAAACCCAGGTCCACCCCACTCATTGCCTTCTCCATCAGTGTCCTCAAAGCAGACACTTGTCAGCCAGGTATAGGTGAAACATTCTACGCCTAGACTTGTCGCCACCACACATCCTATTAACTGTCTTCAAATAACTCTCTCCAGTGACATTCTTTTCTGTGTATGAAAATCATCTGCTCATCTGATCGATATTGCCAGCAGCTGAGAAGAAAAGGATGCCTCACGCTATTTTAAGTAACTCACCTTTAGCGATCGACTCCTGAGCACACCACTCACCAACACTAAATTCACTTCCCAACTCCAACTTCACTCTGAGAAACAACGTGGTGGCTCAGATGGTAAAGAATTCGCCTGCAATGCCGGAGACCCGGGTTCAATCCCTGGGTTGGGAAGATCCTCTGGAGAAGGGAAAGGCTACCCACTCCAGTATTCTTGCCTGGAGAATCCCATGGACAGAGGAACCTGACCCCCAGCCCATGGGGTCACAAAGAGTCAGACATGACTGAGCCACTAATACTAACTTTTTCATGTTTCCTGACTCTTACTGATCTTCCAAATCCACAGTGAATAAGCCCCCAATATATAATTACCTTACAGATTTTCAGATCTTAAAGCTGAAGAAGTATCTGCTTAAGGGTTCATTTATGTTTTTAGAGACTTGTGTTTTGCCTTTGCCCTGGGTGGTTCATCTTTCATCCAGGGGTCCTCTGGGCAGTGTACAGCCTCTCATTTTTTGCTCTCTCTCAAGATGAACAGTGCGCACCTGACACAGTATCCAGCACAGGCTGACTGTGAGCACGGTTGGACCATCTGGCACCACAACTTGGATTTAATGAATGTTGACTGGATGAGACCATGTGTCACATCCTGAGCTAGGCACCTCCTCACACTTGGCTGCACCTGAGCCAAATCCATTAGCTGACTATTTAAAAAAAATCTCCGGGTAATTAACCAAGCCTTTTATTTTTTGTATCCTGATGTTTTGACATCTGGGGGCGGGGGGTGCCTTGAGGACCCTGGAGGAAGTGTCCTTCCCAGGCTGAGCCAATTCCTAAAGATAAAAAGACTGGCCTTCCCACAAGCCTTTCATATGCAAACCAACCGATCCTGAGGCCACACTCCTAACCACCTTCTTACTGGCGCTCACACTAGGGCCACTCTCTGCCAGCCCTCATCATCAGCCTTTGAAGCTTGGAGTTTAACAAAATGAATGACTCTGTGAATGAATGAAAACATGCAAGATGGTAGGCAGGTCAAGTTCCCCAAACTAAGTGGGCACAGATTAACATATTTCATTGATAAGGTTCATTTTTTCCCCCACACTTTAATATCTCTGAAATCAGGATGGGTCTTAATAAGGACAGTATCTTAAAATGACTGACAACTTGGCAGTAGTCACAGCACAATCATCATTTCCCTGTTATTTGCATCAACTTGGTCACCACTATTCATTTTGTCATTGCTTCCACTAAGGGGCATCATTGGCATTGCACGTCTTCTGTTAAATTGCCATCTAAATGGCTTTCAAAAAAATTACACTATGATCTGGCACTTAAAAGATGTTACTGTGTGTGCACCAAGGCAAATAAACAGAGTAGTGGGGTCTAAATGTTCTGTTACTAAAGGAAACATTTGTCTTTGTTTAGCGTTTCCACATTACCTTTCAAAGCAAAATCCAAATGCTTAACTAGACTGAAGGAAAACACAGAAAAGGAATCTGTGTTACAGTTCGTAACTGAGACATATACAAACTGATTGCCTATCACACCATAAGCAATGCTACTGAGGTACCAGCAGTAAAAAGTACCACAACTGATGGAAGAGATGAACATTGAAAGCTGTGAGATGCTAGCATGCCAGTTTCATGCAGTGTCCTGGAAGACCACTGTTATAGTGGCAAGTCATAATATAATTGGCAGTATTTTCTTTTCCTCCCTGTATAAGAAAAATCATGCTATGTCTTACATTCTGATGACATTCCCGATTTGATGAAATACAGAAATAAAGATGGGTTGCCAGTTAATAATAGGTTTTAATACCTGAATAGAATGCAGAGTGGAAGTTTGTTGACTGTGGACATTTTTAGGTTAGAGAGGTATCTGCATGCTCCCAACTTCAGGTTGACTATACCATGTCAATTACCTGGTACGGTTTTGCAGATCCCCAGTCATTTAAAGAAGGTGGCATCACTCTTTCTCCCCTCAAATGGTTTTGGTACATATCCCATTCTGGTGCCAGAGTAACAGCGAGCACACCTCAAGTTCCACTTTCTCAACTTTAATTAGTGCTGCTCCAGTTTTCCACAGTTTAGAGGTGCCAGGGCTGTCTTCTAGACTGAAACCTCACCACGCTGCGGGGGACGGAGTGAAATGATTAGACGGGAGAGCCCATGTTAAATCCCAAGGCACACACACGGGACTTTGAGATGCTGAACACTAGAGTAACATGAGTAAAATGCCAACTACGAGGATAGGCTTCCAGGCAGCATATGGTCACAGCTCAAAAATGAATTTATCTCTTTTTAGCCTTAGTACTGCAAACCATTTTGGAACCAGAGAAGAGCTGAAGACTATAGCAAGGGAGAGAATAGACACACACACAACCCGCCTAGGGAAGAGAAGTGATAAAAGAGTACCTGTAGGTTATAATAAAAGACACTTTTTTTTTTTTTTTAAGACACAGCTTCAAACTCACTATCACAACTGTGATACCAGGTTTCCAGACCCTTCAGCCAGGTGACAACTGCCTCAGTGTAAAAGTGAGTAATCAAATCAGAAATAGGGGATCACCTCCACCCATCATGAAGACAACTGGTAAAAGCATCTCTATATGACAAATACATTATCTTTTACAGTGTTGACAACAGACCACCACACATGCAGCATTTGGTACTATTGAGAAGGCCTGCTTCCTGCCCTAGGGTACTCAGGTGAGTCTCCTTTCTGGTCAGTAGAGGAGAATCCAGGGGTTCCCTGGACGAACACCATCTTCCCCAGAGACCTTGTTTCAGTCTTCCACTGTAAGTAGGCAGCTCTGTGTCAGGAATTCTCTGACAGTTGGTACAGGAGGGTGAGTGTGTCCCTGTGAACACCACAGGGGAGCGTGGCTGCCAGCTGGTGGGGTGTACTTATCTGTGCAGACTTAAAATAGACCTGAACGGCTGAAAGGGGAGAAACTGCTCCTTAAGCAGCAATTCTACAAAACATAGGTATATCTTATGTTGATTATCTTTTGTCATGATTTTGATTTTTACAAAAATTACTTTTAGAAATGACTTTAAGATTATTTGGCATGAGTTAAATAAGTTTTCACTGTTTCTTCTTCCTCTAAAGTTCTTTTTATTATGATTTGATTCATCTCTGGGATCACACAGAGTTGGACATGTCTTACGTGACTTAGCAGCAGCAGCATAGTCCTTTCTCCTCTATAAATGTTAAAAAAATAGGAGTTTGAGACTTTTAACAGTGCTTGACCAAAAACTATTCCACCAGAAATATATATGTTCTTGTTTTAGGAAACAGAAAGGATTAGTAACGTATCTTTACGTCAAGATCTATTGCTGTATTTCTAATTCCCAGATTTTGCTCTCTAAGGCTTCCTGTATTCATATAGTCAAAGAATTTTGGAGCTAGAAGGGACTTAATAGTCAAATTCTATTCCTTAGAATGTTAATGAGAAACTCTATCCCTCCCTTCAAAAAAGCCAGTTTTTATGGAAAGTTGTATTTCTTTGATTGAGATAGCTTTAGTTTGTGCCTAGAAATAAAATTTTATAATATGGCCATTTTAATATTTTTTGTTGTCTCACAGGCTAAATGTAGTATATGGATCCTTTCTCCTCATCCTCCATTTTAAGTGTCTGTTTCACTTTGAAGTCAGTGTTAGGAATGGGGAATAAAAAGGCAAGAAGCTGTCTAAGTTCCAACAATAAGAAAAAGTTGATTTAGAAATGCTTTTAAAAGGCTTCTAGTCTTCAGTTTTTTTCTGAGTTTTATATAAAAAAAAAACTTTTACAAACCAAATATTCATCTTGAGTTTGAGGAATGTTATTAGTTTTACTTCATATGTTTCATAGCATGTACTGTTGCATGCAAAATAATATTTGCTGTGTGCCATATACTATTCTGATTGTTTTACATGTGTTCACTCATTTAATTCACAAAACAACCTTCTGAGGGTGGGGTTGGTTATCCTCATTTTAAGGTTGTGGGCACTGAAATACAGAGATGTCAGATAACTTGCCCAGTATAAATTGAAGTTCCAAATGCAACAGGAGATAAGTAATAACATGGTTTTGCTGAAGTTAGAGCACATTTGTAGTATAATTATCTTAAGACTTTTTTTTCCATT